TTCTTTTTAACTTTTTTTGTAATTTTCTTTTCTTTTTTCCCTCCTAAACATGAATATTAAGCAAGTACAAAATCTCATGATAACATTAAGTGATGTTGAGAAGGGACATAAGAGCCTGAGGTTCTGGTGGTCTACAGGTGTTTCACCAGCTGTTTGATCAAGTTCTAGCCCGTTACTTGGACTAGTAACGGGGGAACTAACAGTGTTAATAGTTTAAACTTTGTGCTATAACTGAACCTCAGGAAGAAGACATCTGGCAATGCCAGGGAGTGAGTAGCTCTAGCCGGCAGCCATCCAATGGACTGCTGCCGTTACCGACCCCGGGGGTGCTGACCACGAGTATCAGCCTCGGACCCACTACTCACTAGCTCTGGTGTTCTGAGCGGGGGCCTTATTATTATTATTATTAGATTATCAAGTTCTGACAAAGGAAATGCTGATTTATTATTATTATTATGCCTACCCGACAAAAAGACAGTCCGAGCGCAGACAAAATGAACGTGTTAATCCCAAACCATGGATACTGCCCTGGCTTGAAGAAGCTATAGAACGTAAAAATCAGGCATATCATGATTTTGTTAAGGAACCAGTTGATAGGAACCAGCTAAAATATGACCGTTTGAAAAAGTTTTGCACCAAACACGTTGACAAAGCCAAAAACATACACTACAAAAAATTCTTTGAACAACACAAAGATAATTCTAAGAAGCAGTGGCAGATGATTAACGGACTTCTGAATAGGAAACCAGCCAAACCTACATCGATAAAACTGTCGGACGAAAACGGACAAGTCAGCACTCCGGCAGCAGTAGCAGAAAAATTTAATGATCACTTCTCAAACATCGCTCCAAAAATTAAATCTGAAATTAGTAGTAGGACCACTTTCGATCCTGGTGGGGCCCAGGGGACACTACGTAACCCTTCTCCAAATAGTATCTACATAAAACCAGTCACAACTACCGAAGTTCAAGACGTTATTAACCTATTTAAGAATAAAGCTACTCTTGACACCAAAATCCAACCACTCAAAATTGCCAACAGCTGTCATAATTTTACCACTGTATTGGCCCACGTTGTTAACAGCTCGTTCGAACAAGGGGTCTTTCCCCAAGCCTTGAAAACGGCAAAAGTAGTTCCTGTACATAAAGGTGGGTCTAAAACTGACATCAAAAATTACAGACCGATATCTCTACTTGCCACTTTCTCAAAAGTCTACGAAAAGCTTATGCACAATCGAGTCATAAATTTCTTGGATACCTACAATATTCTTTGTGAAAATCAATACGGCTTCCGCCCAGGTAGGTCTTGTGAACATGCACTTCTTAATGCTAAAGACAGAATCCTCAATTCAATGTCTAAAAAGCAAGTTACTTTGCTCCTTTTGATTGACTTTAGCAAAGCCTTTGACCTTGTGGATCACTCCATACTCCTGAATAAGCTCGAGCACTATGGCATAAGAGGTCTAGCTTTAAACTGGTTTAAATCATATCTTATGAACAGAAACCAGTTTGTATCAATTGGATCCTCTGAATCCTCAGCCAATCCAATTATTTACGGTGTACCCCAAGGTTCAATTTTGAGACCTCTCCTTTTTATAATCTACATAAACGATCTTCCTCAAATATCAGAAATAGCTAATTTCATCATGTACGCAGATGATGCAAACATTTTCCTAACAGGAGAAAATATAAACGAGGTTTATGATAAGCTCAAAATTCTTAGCGATGTCTTAGTTAAATGGGTAGATAGCAACGGATTAGCTCTAAATCTTAAAAAAACGAATTATATGATCTTTTCTCGACAAAGAAACCTCATTTATCGCGATGTAGTAATATCTGGTGTCACAATCGAAAGAAAAACAGAAGCCCGTTTCTTAGGTGTTATAATAGATAACAAACTGAACTGGTCGCAACATATTTCTGCCATGAAAATGAAAATGGCCAGATACATTGGAGTCATGTACAAACTTAAAAAATATTTGCCTCTGGAAGCACGTTTACAAATATATCACAGCTTTGTGCAGTCTCACCTTAATTACTGCTCCCTCGTCTGGGGTTTTGCTGCCAAATCCCATATAGAAACACTATTTGTTAAACAGAAAATGGGTCTTAGAGCAATACTACCAGGTTTTGTTAATTACTGGTACAAAGATGGTACACCACCAGCAAGTACCAAGTCTGGTTTCTATGTACACAAAATATTGACAGTTCATAGTATCATCGTAAAGAACGCATTAGTTTTTATACATAAGCTAAAAAACTTCCCAAGTCTAGTGCCTCCCTCTATAAAGAAAACAATACCTAACAGTGCACCAATATTTAACGTCGCCGATCCGGATTCGAGTCTTACAACTTTATGGTCAGATGAATACAGTAAACACCCTTACAATAATTCAGTATTCTACAAAGGTCCACTATTAGCAATAAACAGATATAGTGTCGCAGCAACTTCCTTGCCAAGTCTATTCAACCTTAACATCTACAAAAGGTGCATAAAAAACATGCTCATTGATCAACAAAACGAGGGCATTGCAGACGAATGGCCTAACTTTATGCTATACAATATTACGGGACTAAGGAAATCAGAGCGCAACATCAACCGTAATGCTAATAATAACTCTGTCCCATAAGCACGCCATCACAGAATCAATTTCACTGCATACCATCTCAGTTACACTGCCATCAATTCGCCAGCAAAAACGGCATGACGCTATGCGACTGATAACAGTCGTTAAATTTTAAAAATTTTGGAATAGCTAGCTAGCAGTATGCGCCTGTTTCCACTCTAACAACTCTAAAAGCATATTAATATGATAATTTCAACTAAAGGCAACTTTAAATGTGCTCAGCTATGTTTTGTTCGACAAGCTCTATTATATACATTTTAATCGTTTTAATGAGATCTAATCTTGTATGAGTTTTGAGTTTGAATTGATAACACTTATTATATATATTATTTTTTGAGTAAACATTGGCTGGTACTTCGGGCCGGTCCCCAACAAAAAAAAATTATTAGATTAGCAAGTTCTGACAAAGGAAATACTGAATTAATATTATTGTTATTAGATTAGCAAGTTCTAACAAAGGAAATACTGAATTAATATTATTATCATTAGATTAGCAAGTTCTGACACAATGAACTGGTCAGAACGGTGACCAGTACAAATCACAATGCTGGCAAGCATTACCGTCGCCCTTATATTCACAATACTATTTACCCCTATACTAGTATATCCCCTTTATTGTTTTCCAGGCATTAAGACTCATCGAAAGTAGTTCAGCAGGTACCTATATTTAAGTTCAAAACATTCTAATTCAATGTTAAAGATGACAGGAATAAGAAATAGTTATGTGGAGGTTTTTAAGAAATTTGCGCAAAATACGCGCCAGCATGTTATACGAAATTAGGTAAAAAACCCAAAATCGCCATATTCAGGTGCCTTAAAAACCATGTTAAAATTGAGTAAGAGATCTGAAACTTTGCAGGGCGTCTAGACCTTGTCCAAATCGACTGTAAAAAAAATTTCATGTTTCAGGAGTATCGGGAAGTGGGTTTTCTGGAACCCCTGTTTTACAACAGATTGTCGTGAAGTATAGTATAGACGCTTTTGCAGTCAATTTGCAGTCAATTGTAGCCTACATTTAAGTGTCCGTAGATTCAAAAGTATAAAAGATACAGTCATTTCGAACCACAGGTTTTAAAGATAATTGTTTATACTTTAGTTTACATTATATCAAAAAATAATTTATCTTCATCATCATCACTTGATGACGTCATCAAATTAAGTGTTTTTAAAACTTGATTTTTGACAAAGTAACAACTTTTCAAATCGATTTTAAACCATTAAGGAGTAATTTTATTCAAAATCTGAGGACATTTTTATCTTAGATAATTGTTCAAGCATTCTGAAAATCTACCGGAAAAGTTTCTTACTTTGCTCCTTCATAAAGATATTCGCTATTGAAGTAAGTGCTTTTTTGAAGAATAATTTTATAAAAACACAAAAGTTGTGAATTAGTATTCTCTGGTGTTGGGCTATCCCTTGGGTTGTGGAGCTCAATTTTGCTTCCTAAAGGTCTAAATTGTGTTATAGGCTAGTTTTAAAGTTGAAAATCAAAAAGTTGCACACGTGGGGACACGCCCAATTTGATAGAAAATTGCTAAAATTACTGAAAATTGCTGTTTTCACCATTTTTATCAACTTTGGAGTCCCGTTGTGATCCAAGTTCTATATGAAATCTTCTGAAACTTTGCATGCTTATTAAACTATATATAAAATACTGCTATGCAAAAATTTACGGTGATTCAATATTGTATCCGCACGCAACGTCCGCTCAAAGTTTGCACGTGCGAAAGGTGAGAATTTTGCTCATTCGTGATTTCGAATAAATTCTGCTTTCCCACGATATTTAAATGGCATTATATATGAATTTAATGCCAACTTGAATGAGTAAAAAGTGCCATATTCAGTCAGGTAAAATTTCGAAATCGATGAAATTACCTCCTAATTATTAATATAAATATTAATTAAGTTATGAGTTTACATTTCGGCTTTGTAAATTATCCTGACATTATAATCAAAAAGAGATGATATTTGACCAAAACCCATAATCATGGGTAGAGTGTACCGCTGCCAGTGTCTCTCTTTTCCAAACAAAAGGAAATGATATTAATTTGAATAACCGTCCGAAAATGCAAATTGATACCGAGAATGAAATCGGTCGCTCGCTTTTTCCAATCAATAAGCTTTATATTACAATTCGTAAGCCGTGATCGAATGGAAAAAGCGAGCGACCGATTTCATTCTCGGTATCAATTTGCATTTTCGGACGGTTATTCAAATTAATATCATTTCCTTTTGTTTGGAAAAGAGAGACACTGGCAGCGGTACACTCTACCCATGATTATGGGTTTTGGTCAAATACAGCATAACAAATATAACCCTCACTTACATTTCCAGAAAATCGTATCTTGCAGCAAATCACTTTATTCACCAAACTATGATGAAGCTCACCAATACCCTTATTTGTCTGACCCTTGTAGTCCTTGTCACTTGCAGAACCCTCGAGCTGGAGGACGACCAAACAATTGGGTGGGGCAAAGCAGAGGAGGATGAGCAAACAATTGGGTGGGGCAAAACAGAGGAGGATGACCAAACAAGTGGTTGGGGCCGGGCAGAAGCAGCTGAGGGGAACATGGGTGGAGGTGCTGAGCTTGCGGAGGGGAATATGGGTGGAGGTGCTGAGCTTGCGGAGGGGAACATGGGTGGAGGTGCTGAGCTTGCGGAGGGGAACATGGGTGGAGGTGCTGAGCTTGCGGAGGGGAACATGGGTGGAGGTGCTGAGCTTGCGGAGGGGAACATGGGTGGAGGTGCTGAGCTTGCGGAGGGGAATATGGGTGGAGGTGCTGAGCTTGCGGAGGGGAACATGGGTGGAGGTGCTGAGCTTGCGGAGGGGAACATGGGTGGAGGTGCTGAGCTTGCGGAGGGGAATATGGGTGGAGGTGCTGAGCTTGCGGAGGAGGAGCAGCACTTTGGTCTTGGAGCAGGAGAGGGAATATTTTAAATCCGGTCTAACTCTAAAGAGACAACATTTAGTTGCTATAGTTACTAAATAGTTGCTATAGTTACTAGATAGTCGAGAACATTACATCTTTTATAGGGCTTTAGATTATCATAACTTTTTTAACGCGAATGATACCGAGACTTAAAGGGTGATACCTGACTTTAACCGGTATTTATTAAATGATCATTTATAACTATAACTTGATTATGATATGCTAATTCTGTATTAATTAAAGAATTAATTGTATTTGGAAAATAATGTTTTATTATTGTTAAGGGGTCGTTCACATATTACGTTATCAATATTTTGGCAATTTTTACCCCCCCCCTCCCCCTCCGTAATCAACCGTAATCAAGACCGAACCCCCCCCCACTTACTAAACGAAAATTGGTTTAAAAAACGAAAATTTTGATTACATAATTAACGAAAATTGTCCAATTGGTATTTCGAAAATCGGTAAAAAATTAAAATTTTGATTACGTAATCAACGACCCCCGTAATCAACCGTAAGCATTTGAAACCCCCCCCCCCCTCGCGGCTGATTACCAAATATCATTTGCATCAGCCTTACTAGCCTGTCACGTGACCAAAACGGTTTTTTGCCCATAACTCTCCGTGGAAGCATTTTTACCCTACGTCATGTGGGGTGATTCGGAATCAGCGTCCAAAAATACACCGATTCAGATCAATTTCACACCCAAAGGGCCTTTTCACAAGAATTTTCTTAAAATTTGGGCGAGCGATTTAGTAGGAGCGGTCGCAACTAGATCGGCGGTGGGCCTCGCCGAACTGTGAATGATTGACGTGCGCTGCGCAGTAAAGACACGCATAAAGCCGTATTACATACATATTGCAATAAACTGTTAGTGTTGACTAACTGCTGCAAATGGCGCGTGCGCGACAGCAGCAGTTTCTCTGCACTTTAGTCCCCCTGTGTCCAAAGTTCTACCAGCTCAGCTGTGAGCTCACTAGTCACTTCTGAACAATCCAGTTATCCTCTAATTTTATTCCTAATTGAAACACTGCATTAAAAATAATCAAATTCATAACCAAAATCAAATTTCAAGCTTCTATGAAACACCATCAATATCGAAAAGTAGACAATCCGTGCAAGTAACCATGGTAACGCTCCAATTCCACTGCAATTACACATTTCAAATTGTACAAACTATCATATAAGGGATTTACAGACCTTGGAAACGCTCAAAGTTCAAAACCTTCTTGATCGCGGAGAGCTGCATCAAAGATATTTTCAAAGTCAAACCGAAGACAAATTCCTTGAATATCTTTACAAATGCTAAGAGTATCCATTAAAATACAAATGATTATAGTATTTAGGTACCAATTCTATTTCTAATCGAATAAGATAAAAAATGTTCATAAATGACCTCTTCAATTCTCGCATTTAGTATAAAAAAGATACCACAAGTTATGTGTTTGAAACTTTTGAATTATAAAACATAGTTAGGGCTTTGGAATTAAATGAAAATTACAGTCTACTTAGATTAAAACAAAGCTGCATGAACAATGAACAGTGAAGAGTGCATGAATAATTTGAATATTCGTTTAAAAAAAGGGCTTAATATTGTATAACTATAAGACGAGAGGATAATAGATCTATGAGGTTATTTCTTTTCACAATCTTGATCTTATATCACTAATCATCAGTCACAAACATGCTTGAACAAATCTCAAAAAACACGTACATCATCTCCAATGAAACGTACCTTCAATATAAAGCAAAATAGTCAAAAATACATTATCGGAAAGATGAGTTGTTACATCACGATCTACAAAAAGTGCATCTCCAGACACCATAAACTGTCAGTTACACTATTTCACTAGATGTCACATCATATCGCACATGTCAAATCATATCGCGCACGTGTCAAAACATATCGCGCATGTGTCAAGTTATGTCGCGCACGTGCCACATCATATCGCGCACGTGTCACATCATATCGCGCACGTGTCAAATCGTATCGCGCACGTGTCACATCATATCACGCACGTGTCACTGGATGTTACGTATGGGTGGAGGGAAGTACTTGACCTCCTGCATAGGGATTGTGGAGCTGACTGAGCCGTCACTGGAACTGTACTTGTTGAGCACGCCGAATATCCTGTTGTTCATCAGCTGGATGTGTCGGATCCGGTCCACTAGCTTCTTTATACTCTGCAATAGTATGGGATCAGGTTAAGAGGGGGATTTGTTTAAAACATACCTTACTCGGGAATATTATAGCGGGTTAATTTATGACTGGGAAAATTAATGACCGGGAAAAATATGGCGGAATTTTCCAAAACCCACCAAGCATCAAAATGTATTACTATTAGTTTACCTTATTCGGGAACATTATAGCGGGTTAATTTATGACTGGGAAAATTAATGACCGGGAAAAATATGGCGGAATTTTCCAAAACCCACCACTTTATCCCAGTCATAATATTCCCGAGTAAGGTAGATACGAAAAGTTTGTTTTAGCAGGAGCTTTCAAAATACATGTGTAAATCGTCTTCAGCTAGGGATGATGTTGTGAAGGGGTGACTATATATGATGGAGTGGTGTCGATGATGAGGGGTGTGTGATGTGCATTTAAAAAACATAATTTTGAAATCAGGGGGGGGTTCACCCTGATTTTTTTGTGAAACTTAGTTTCGAGATAGCAGTCAAATTTCAGAATTTGGCCGCCAAATTTTTTTAAAGACCTAACTCAAAATTCTAATACAAAACTTAAGGTCATGAGGCGATTCTACGTCGATTCTGAAAATTCATGAAAAAATATTGAAACCCTATTGAGTTCTATTGTTTTGAGCGAAGTCAGTTTTGCAAATATCGCGAACTGAGATATGGGCGATTTTGTTCATTTTTTGCAACTATTTGAACACAGAATCCACAGTTAGGTATATATTGAGCTGATAATCATAGAGAATCTGTAGTATAGGCTTACCTTTCATATAAAGTTGGTTTCATTCAAAAATATTGATATTTGACCAATTTATGGGCCAAAATCGATAAAATTTGGTGCATATGCCCAAATATGGTCATATGGTTTTTGGCTCATAACTCAGTCATTTTTTGTCCCATCTTGATGAAAATTCATACAAGTAGAGCACTCTAAACCTGGGTTTTGGGCATGTTCAGGGTATTTGGCTAAATTGGGCCTGATTTGGACCAAATATGGGCGTGGCTGCCCCGCGGGCACCGTTTGGCGGTTGGGGTCCGGGACCCCCTCAAAAGTTCGGTCACCGGTCCTAGTTTGTTGGTCAACTGCTATCTCGAAACCAATTTTCACAAAAAATTCAGGGTGAACCCCACAATGTGATACTGTGTGACAAAGTTAAGATTGTCGTAGTAAAAGAAAGTTAATTTTCGATAAATTCATGTGAGGTACTATCGAAGTTCAAATTGTTGTGATGGGTGACATGAAAATGACTGATAAGAGAAAGTTTTCATGTCAACTGTGCCATAATCCATAACAGCATGATGACTGTCAAAGTGTCGACCACTAGGTACTTGGACGAACAAGTGTACCCGAGGTGTTCTGAGAGAATAAGGGGACAGGCTCGGGAACACGAACGCGCGCTAGCCGCTAGGGCAAAAAAGTGAAATGCACAGCAAGCAAGCTATAAAAAGAAATTTGAAATGCCGTTTGGGCCTAATGCAGTGAGCCAGTAAGGTACGGTCGAAGGAGCAAGTGTGCAAGAGTGGAGTATGGGGTCAGGTTTAAAGGATTGAGAGGGTGTAGTTAAAACTTAGGAGTTCTAAATCCTAATCAACTTGGCGTCCAATAGGGGACATTTCAAGAGGGTGCATTTCAATTGTGGGCAACTGTGACCATAACGCAGGTACTGCAAAAATTACCACAACAAAGTGATCTCAGTCAAATAGGCGAGGGTAACTATTAGCATACTAGGGAGCAGAGTAAGATTAATTGTAAGAGAACGCATGCAGATTGCAGCCCCCACCTCCGCATGCAGTCCCCTTCCTCCGCAGTCCGCATGCAGTCCCCTTCCTCCGCATGCAGTCCCCTTCCTCCGCATGCAGCCCCCCACCTCCGCATGCAGTCCCCCACCTCCGCATGCAGTCCCCAACCCCCTGCGCATGCAGATTGCAGCCCCCACCTCCGCATGCAGTCCCCCACCTCCGCATGCAGTCCCCAACCCCCTGCGCATGCAGATTGCAGCCCCCACCTCCGCATGCAGTCACTATGAGTTTTACACTCTCCCTTATTTTACAGTCAGTGGCGTACACACCATATACTGTACACTATTTCACTAACTGTCACATGTCACATGATGTCACATGATTTCACATGATGTCACATGATGTCACATGATGTCACATGATGTCACATGATGTCACATGATGTCACATGATTTCACATGATGTCACATGATGTCACATGATTTCACATGATGTCACATGATGTCACATGATGTCACATGATGTCACATGATGTCACATGATGTCACATGATGTCACATGATGTCACATGATGTCACATGATGTCACATGATGTCACATGATGTCACATGATGTCACATGATGTCACATGATGTCACATGATGTCACATCTTTGTGCGCACGTGTTACTGGATGTCACAAGGGGCTAGAGACCTGTTATTACACCAGAACCGGATGTAGATTATAGATATCCGTTGCAATATGTTTCTAACCCATCCTAAAAGCCCGTTTAAAGTCACCCAAATCAACAGAACATAACAGTTAATTCAGCTCAGTTACTTACAATTCCACAATATATTCCATATTTAGGTTACTTACAATTCCACAAGAAATTCCATCTTTAGGTTTCTCGTCGAACACCCTGAGCAGGTGATAGGAGAAGTCGAGAGAGTCGAACCTGTGTTGCTGTCCCAGTATCGTGATAATAGTCAGGGCAGCCCAGTGTAATCCTTCTCCAAACATCTCCCTGACAAATACACAGTTTAAGGGGGGGGGGGGGGGGGGGGGGGGGGCGAGTGTAATCCTTCATCAAACATCTCCCTGACAAATACACAGTTTTATCGGGGGGGGGGGGGGGGGGGGGGGGGGGGCAGCTCTCTAACAGCTCTCTAACGGCCGACATGCTGTGGCGAATCGTTGCCCCCCCCCCCTAGGAGAGGGGTGAGGCGGCTAGGAGAGGGGTGAGGCGAACATGTCCGTAACACTCCATTAGTAACCATGGTAACGCTCCATTAGTAACGCTCCATTAGTAACCGTGGTAACGCTCCATTAGTAACTTTCCATTATTAACGCTCCATTAGTAACCTTGGTAACGCTCCATTAGTAACGCTCCATTAGTAACGATGGTAAAGCTCCATTAGTAACACTCCATTAGTAACCATGATAACGCTCCATTAGTAACGCTACAATAGTAACCATGGTAAAGCTCCATTAGTAACGCTACAATCTACATTAGTAACCATGGTAACGCTCCATTAGTGATGCGACTAGGAGAGGGGTGAGGCGGCTAGGAGAGGGCCAGGGGTGAGGCGGCTAGGAGAGGGGTGAGGCGGCTAGGAGAGGGGTGAGGCGACTAGGAGAGGGTTGAGGCGACTAGGAGAGGGGTGAGGCGGCTAGGAGAGGGGTGAGGCGGCTAGGAGAGGGGTGAGGCGGCTAGGAGAGGGGTGAGGTGGCTAGAAGAGGGGTGATGCGACTAGGAGAGGGGTGAGGCGGCTAGGAGAGAGGTGAGGCGACTAGGAGAGGGATTAGGCGACTAGTAGAGGGGTGATGCTACTAGGAGAGGGGTGATGCGGTTAGGAGAGAGGTGAGGCGGCTAGGAGAGGGGTGAGGCGGCTAGGAGATGGGTGAGGCGGCTAGGAGAGGGATTAGGCGACTAGGAGAGGGGTGAGGTGACTAGGAGAGGGGTGAGGCGACTAGGAGAGGGGTGAGGTGGCTAGGAGAGGGGTGAGGCGACTAGGAGAGGGGTGAGGTGGCTAGGAGAGGGGTGAGGCGGCTAGGATAGGGGTGAGGCGGCTAGGAGAGGGGTGAGGCGGCTAGGAGAGGGATTAGGCGACTAGGAGAGGGGTGATGCGACTAGGAGAGGGGTGAGGCCACTAGGAGAGGGGTGAGGCGACTAGGAGAGGGGTGATGCGACTAGGAGAGGGGTGAGGCGGTTAGGAGAGGGGTGAGGCGGCTAGGAGAGGGGTGAGGCGACTAGGAGAGGGTTGAGGCGACAAGGAGAGGGGTGAGGCGGCTAGGAGAGGGGTGAGGCGGCTAGGAGAGAGGTGAGGCGACTAGTAGAGGGGTGATGCGACTAGGAGAGGGTTGAGGCGACTAGGAGAGGGGTGAGGCGGCTAGGAGAGGGGTGAGGCGGCTAGGAGAGGGGTGAGTCGGCTAGGAGAGGGGTGAGTCGGCTAGGAGAGAGTTGAGGCGACTAGGAGAGGGTTGAGGCGACTAGGAGAGGGTTGAGGCGGTTAGGAGGGGGTTGAGGCGACTAGGAGAGGGTTGAGGCGACTAGGAGAGGGGTGAGGCGGCTAGGAGAGGGGTGAGGCGACTAGGAGAGGGTTGAGGCGACTAGGAGAGGGGTGAGGCGGTTAGGAGAGGGGTGAGTCGGCTAGGAGAGGGTTGAGGCGACTAGGAGAGGGGTGAGGCGGCTAGGAGAGGGGTGAGGCGACTAGGAGAGGGTTGAGGCGACTAGGAGAGGGTTGAGGCGACTAGGAGAGGGGTGAGGCGGCTAAGAGAGGGATGAGGCGACTAGGAGAGGGTTGAGGCGTCTAGGAGAGGGGTGAGTCGGCTAGGATAGGGTGATGCGACTAGGAGAGGGTTGAGGCGGCTAGGAGAGGGGTGAGGAGACTAGGAGAGGGGTGAGGTGGTTAGGAGAGGGGTGAGTCGGCTAGGAGAGAGGTGATGCGACTAGGAGAGGGGTGAGGCGGCTAGGAGAAGGGTGAGGAGACTAGGAGAGGGGTGAGGTGGTTAGGAGAGGGTTGAGGCGACTAGGAGAGGGGTGATGCGACTATGAGAGGGGTGAGGCGGCTAGGAGAGAGGTGAGGCGACTAGGAGAGGGGAGATGCGACTAGGAGAGGGGTGAGGCGGTTAGGAGAGGGGTGAGGCGGCTAGGAGAGGGGTGAGGCGGCTAGGAGAGGGGAGATGCGACTAGGAGAGGGGTGAGGCGGTTAGGAGAGGGATTAGGCGACTAGGAGATGGGTGAGGCGGCTAGGAGAGGGATTAGGCGACTAGGAGAGGGGTGATGCGGCTAGGAGAGGGGTGAGGCGACTAGGAGAGGGGTGATGCGACTTGGAGAGGGGTGAGGCGGTTAGGAGAGGGGTGAGGCGGCTAGGAGAGGAGTGAGGCGGCTAGGAGAGGGGTGAGGCGACTAGGAGAGGGTTGAGGCGACTAGGAGAGGGATTAGGCGACTAGGAGAAGGGTGATGCGACTAGGAGAGGGGTGAGGCGGCTAGGAGAGGGTTGAGGCGGCTAGAAGAGGGGTGAGGCAGCTAGGAGTGGGATTAGGCGACTAGGAGAGGGGTGATGCGACTAGGAGAGGGGTGAGGCCACTAGGAGAGGGGTGAGGCGACTAGGAGAGGGGTGATGCGACTAGGAGAGGGATGAGGCGGTTAGGAGAGGGGTGAGGCGGTTAGGAGAGGGGTGAGGCGGCTAGGAGAGGGGTGAGGCGACTAGGAGAGGGGTGAGGCCACTAGGAGAGGGGTGAGGCGACTAGGAGAGGGGTGATGCGACTAGGAGAGGGGTGAGGCGGTTAGGAGAGGGGTGAGGCGGCTAGGAGAGGGGTGAGGCGACTAGGAGAGGGGTGAGGCGACTAGGAGAGGGTTGAGGCGACTAGGAGATGGGTGAGGCGGCTAGGAGAGGGGTGATGCGACTAGGAGAGGGGTTAGGTGGCTAGGAGAGGGGTGAGGCGACTAGGAGAGGGGTGAGGCGGTTAGGAGAGGGGTGATGCGACTAGGAGAGGGGTGATGCGACTAGGAGAGGGGTGAGGCGGCTAGGAGAAGGGTGAGTCCACTAGGAGAGGGGTGAGGCGGCTAGGAGAGAGGTGTGGCGGCTAGGAGAGAGGTGAGGCGACTAGTAGAGGGGTGATGCGACTAGGAGAAGGGTGAGGCGGCTAGGATGGGGTGAGGCGGCTAGAAGAATGGTGAGGCGACTAGGAGAGGGATTAGGCGACTAGTAGAGGGGTGATGCTACTAGGAGAGGGGTGATGCGGTTAGGAGAGAGGTGAGGCGGCTAGGAGAGGGGTGAGGCGGCTAGGAGATGGGTGAGGCGGCTAGGAGAGGGATTAGGCGACTAGGAGAGGGGTGAGGTGACTAGGAGAGGGGTGAGGCGACTAGGAGAGGGGTGAGGTGGCTAGGAGAGGGGTGAGGCGACTAGGAGAGGGGTGAGGTGGCTAGGAGAGGGGTGAGGCGGCTAGGATAGGGGTGAGGCGGCTAGGAGAGGGGTGAGGCGGCTAGGAGAGGGATTAGGCGACTAGGAGAGGGGTGATGCGACTAGGAGAGGGGTGAGGCCACTAGGAGAGGGGTGAGGCGACTAGGAGAGGGGTGATGCGACTAGGAGAGGGGTGAGGCGGTTAGGAGAGGGGTGAGGCGGCTAGGAGAGGGGTGAGGCGACTAGGAGAGGGTTGAGGCGACAAGGAGAGGGGTGAGGCGGCTAGGAGAGGGGTGAGGCGGCTAGGAGAGAGGTGAGGCGACTAGTAGAGGGGTGATGCGACTAGGAGAGGGTTGAGGCGACTAGGAGAGGGGTGAGGCGGCTAGGAGAGGGGTGAGGCGGCTAGGAGAGGGGTGAGTCGGCTAGGAGAGGGGTGAGTCGGCTAGGAGAGAGTTGAGGCGACTAGGAGAGGGTTGAGGCGACTAGGAGAGGGTTGAGGCGGTTAGGAGGGGGTTGAGGCGACTAGGAGAGGGTTGAGGCGACTAGGAGAGGGGTGAGGCGGCTAGGAGAGGGGTGAGGCGACTAGGAGAGGGTTGAGGCGACTAGGAGAGGGGTGAGGCGGTTAGGAGAGGGGTGAGTCGGCTAGGAGAGGGTTGAGGCGACTAGGAGAGGGGTGAGGCGGCTAGGAGAGGGGTGAGGCGACTAGGAGAGGGTTGAGGCGACTAGGAGAGGGTTGAGGCGACTAGGAGAGGGGTGAGGCGGCTAAGAGAGGGATGAGGCGACTAGGAGAGGGTTGAGGCGTCTAGAAGAGGGGTGAGTCGGCTAGGATAGGGTGATGCGACTAGGAGAGGGTTGAGGCGGCTAGGAGAGGGGTGAGGAGACTAGGAGAGGGGTGAGGTGGTTAGGAGAGGGGTGAGTCGGCTAGGAGAGAGGTGATGCGACTAGGAGAGGGGTGAGGCGGCTAGGAGAAGGGTGAGGAGACTAGGAGAGGGGTGAGGTGGTTAGGAGAGGGTTGAGGCGACTAGGAGAGGGGTGATGCGACTATGAGAGGGGTGAGGCGGCTAGGAGAGAGGTGAGGCGACTAGGAGAGGGGAGATGCGACTAGGAGAGGGGTGAGGCGGTTAGGAGAGGGGTGAGGCGGCTAGGAGAGGGGTGAGGCGGCTAGGAGAGGGGAGATGCGACTAGGAGAGGGGTGAGGCGGTTAGGAGAGGGATTAGGCGACTAGGAGATGGGTGAGGCGGCTAGGAGAGGGATTAGGCGACTAGGAGAGGGGTGATGCGGCTAGGAGAGGGGTGAGGCGACTAGGAGAGGGGTGATGCGACTTGGAGAGGGGTGAGGCGGTTAGGAGAGGGGTGAGGCGGCTAGGAGAGGAGTGAGGCGGCTAGGAGAGGGGTGAGGCGACTAGGAGAGGGTTGAGGCGACTAGGAGAGGGATTAGGCGACTAGGAGAAGGGTGATGCGACTAGGAGAGGGGTGAGGCGGCTAGGAGAGGGTTGAGGCGGCTAGAAGAGGGGTGAGGCAGCTAGGAGTGGGATTAGGCGACTAGGAGAGGGGTGATGCGACTAGGAGAGGGGTGAGGCCACTAGGAGAGGGGTGAGGCGACTAGGAGAGGGGTGATG